CATATGTTATCGAGGTAAACCTAATAAGGGCTAGTATTAAATGACAGGACTGCTGAAGCCAGTACAGACTTATTGGAATCCTTCTGTAACTCATTGATGTTTTTAATTTCACTTTTAAGTGGGCCATGATCTCATTTGGGAATTAATTTGATTCACAGGAACTTGTTGTTGGTCAGTAATAAATTGTCAATATTTCGGTAAGTAAGGGATATTAATCCAATTTAGATGGCATGTACATGTGTAGAAATGTGGTATCCATCAATCAACGACCAGAAATGTGCTTGTCAATGAGTGAACCATTAAAAAGTCGACCTGGATATACAATGTAGACAAACCAGTAAGATGGCGAGTGACGCTCCTTTTCTCTACTTACATATAGGGGGTGTATATTTTTACTGACCTGAGATTTGATTGCCACCAACTAACTCACAAGTCGGCTGCGAGTTAATTAACTCAACACTCTAATGAGTTAATAGCTTCGGCTTCGGCTGGGTTATAGAGCAGGAAATAAACACAACGGATCTGGGTTTTTTATCATGACACGCGGACCTCGGACAAAGCAACCTCTCTGGGTAAGGAGGGGATTGATATAGAATGGCGAGCGAAACAAAGCGTGTTTTCATTGTGAAAAACCCAAATAGCAAACTAAGTACTAAACCAAAACGGAAGATGTAAGTACCAAATAAAGCGTTAAACATAAGCTGTCCAACAGTTCCACTAAAGATTAACCCCCAAAATGACCATAAAAACACGATTAATATCGACCATTTCTAGATAATCGTGCTACTGTGTGAAAATCAAAGTTACTAAAACATTTTCATGCATGGATAAGGTAACAAACATACATAATATAACATAGATCAATCAATACTTTAAATACGATTAAAATAAAATGCGCTAGATAATATAATTTTCGGGTCACCAATTACAATGGATGTGAAGCAACTGGACAACGACGACCGCCGGAGTTTGCCGAACGGTGACGACGCCGGAGAGAGAAGCGGTATGGTCATTAGACTGGTTTTACGACCCGGTGACAGTCGTATACATTTTACGCTGTATTTAGCAATACTCCAGATCTCTCGCGGCACTGTTATAAGGCATCTTCCCGAGGCAAGAGCGCCCACTAGCCTTTTAATCAAAGTCTTGGCACATCAAGCACATTTTCATGTGTTAAATATGATTGGACTATCGCAAATATCAATAGTCCAATCAGAGAACGTTTCACAAAATCAACATCCACATGTTCGCACGTAAGTGATTTACCGCTGCCTGTCTTTGTTGACACGAATGTGTCTTTTTTTCACCCCAGCGATTGCCTATGATTATCTGTCTGTCACGGATGAAATCGCGATAGTTTTCGTTATCTGACCGACTAGTTCGTCACAGTCGCCATCGCTGTGAAGCCATACGAGATAAGAACAGCGATCCGATTGGATATCGCGTTTTCATTACAAGGGGCACAAGTCATGAACAACGCGTGGTGGCGCCAGGGTCGAGCCTGGTCGAGGGTAGAAACTAGGCCTTGATCTAGGCTGTTGGACACGCTTGCCACGGGAAATTGGCTATAAGGTTTCTCGACGGCATTTCGGCTGAGTACTTAATTTGCTAAGCTACCTACCCTACTACCTTAGTTTTGTGAAATCGCCAGAGGAAGATGTCTGGAATGTAACTCCATGAAGTTACGTATTGTGTTTATTGAACTTGTTGATACCTTTTTAGTGTTATACTTCTATGACAGTTATATAAAGTCTCATGATAACAGAAATGCTAACCTTTCATTCGGTCACTCTGTTGAAAGCAGAGTACGTTGTGGGATTCCGACCATATCATAAGCATGTGTATATGAATCACTATCACTAAGTTTTCCTGTCCCTTAGTTATTGGTTTAAAATGTGTCATTAGACTATAAGATTCCACAGGGAACTATCAGGATGCTAACTTATGCAAGCCGAGATTATTGATTATATGATATTTGATACTGATTCATAGAAAAAGGTATTTATTTATTTATTTATTTATTCGTTCGTTTGTTCGTTCGTTCATTTATTCATATATTTATTTATTTTCATTCACTCATCATCATTATGATTATGTACAGATCAAAATACAAAATGCAGCAAAGAGGGTTTGGGTGATCCTGGCACAGTCAGGCTGGTGAGGCTCATAATCAGCTCAGGGCCCTTGCCCCCTCTACACGCAGCCCAGACAGCGAATGGGACTTCTCCCAGGAAGCACTGCCTTGTCGAACCCACCCGGAACGGAGAATATGTCGAGTCCCCAACACTGCAGCCTTCTGCATTACTCAGATTGTCAGAAGAGCTGTATTACTGGGAGCAAACCTTGGCACGCTCCCAATGTCAATGAAAAGATTGGAAGGTACACTGAGAACAATTCGGAATCGGCCAGCTTGGTACTTGGGATGCAAGCTTGACATTTCGAAAGCGAGGTCCTCATATTTGCCATGTTTTTCCTCAATCTTACCAATCACATAAGTGTCAAAAGGGACAGAAAATTCAATGACATAAATGATTTCATTGGATTTATCAAAAAGGACAAAATCAGGTTTGTTGGCCTGGATACGTCTGAGGCTGTAAATGGGCCTATTCCAAAGAATTTTGTATTTATCATTTTTCCATGACGCCCTCAACATATTCTGGGTCGTACAAACCACAAGCATGGCGAAGACGGTAATAAAATTATCGAGCCACCCCATTTTATATTTACATTTTGATGCAAAATCACACATTGACGGTTTCGAGTGGGAAGTGACTGGTCCTGAGGAGCAAACAGAAATCCTTCTGTTTCACTTTTCAGGCCAGCCGACTTCATCCAAGCGAAGGATTCTGCAGGGTTGCTGGGCTTCTCAATACACTGCACATATACTCGATGGAGTGGTCGTTCAGATAGCCTCTCCTTGAAACTTGAGTCTGGGTCGATTTGAAATGGCACTTCGCTTGGTTGACACTCATTTCTGTACCGTGTCAGGCAGTACATTATTATTATTATTATTATTTTTATTTTTATTTTTATTTATATTTTTATTTTATTTTTTATTATTATTATTATTAATCTTTAGGATGAAACTTATTTTCCCACTGAGCAGAGTTCCAAGGTTCATGTTTCGACGCGGTCTCGGGCTATCTTAGATGTAAACTTGTACACCGTCTTTTCACAAGGGGATCTGCCCTTCTTTATTGACGCGGTCTCTTTTAGCCTGCAGGAAAAATCAACTTATGGTTATGGTTGTGGTGGTTAAATGTTCGGATGAAAACCGCTGATAAATAGCCTTTATTCCTTTATTCCTCAATTTTTGCACATGTGTAAATGCTGACATTGTCATAACGACTTCAAACGGTGACAGTGTCTGACATCCAATGCTTGGAGCAGACAACAAAGGCGCACAATGTTATTCACGAGAATAACATTGAGTGCGGATATATTAATTTTTTAATGATAATTCAAAAGGTAGTGCATTTATTGGGGCTATAATGTCACACCTGCGTAAATTCAGGACAATACCACCACATACAGTGTACTCAGATGCATTGGACAATGTCGATGTGTATCTAAGCCATTATCTGAAGCTGGTGTAAGGCAAGGTAATGTGTTGTGTCCCGAATATTCACAAGCACCTCGTGGTTAAATCATGTTTTGCAATATTCAAGGCCATATTAATGCTTTCAAAACGTTTCACGCTTGACATTTGGTGGGCATTTCCAAATTTGACGCATCAGCGATAAAAATTATATCTGATGCAGTTCCCTATTTTGACTTGTACGATATGATCCCGTGTTTTATAGTCGGAATCGTACAATCGACTCTGCTTTTAGCAGAGATTTCTTATGAATAAGGAAGAGGACTTGTCACTTTTATTTTAAGCAATAAATTTAACAATGTGTTTGAAAGAAACCGTATTAAAGTAGTGACGGGTTTTTTCATGGGAAAAAGGGAAAATTTGATAATCAGTCTTGTGCAATGATGCCAACAAATCATGTACTTTTCCAAGTACATGCAAGTATTTTAAAAACGATTGGTCACATGGATGTTATCACAATACACAAATTGTCTTTAAAATTCAGCAGTTTGAAAATAGTAAAACATATTTGTTGAACAATGTATCTAAGTTGTCAATAATAAATCAAACAGAGTCCTCTTGGTAAATACAATTTATGCACTGTTCTATGAGAGAATACTAAGTAAGGATAAAGTATAGGGATGAACAACTTCTTATTACAATTAGGAGCGACGTTTCGGTGTAGGTTCTGACACGGTTGTCAAGCAAGTCTATTGGAACAAGGAAGTTGTTCACCTGCTTGATAACGGTGTTAGAAATCATAATTGTAAAGAAGTTGTTCATCTATATATCTTTATCTTACTTAGTAGTCCAGCTTCTAAATGCCTCTCAAAGACGTTACGAGAGAGTATTTTACACAAGATACAAGAAAAGAAAAAGTAACTAAAAATTTAATACTGGAGCTAATTTACAGTTAGGTGAATATTAGACATGTATATACAAAGTGACATACGTTGTTTCAAGATATTCAAGCAGGTTAAATTGCCATTTCAGGATGCGACAAAATAAACTCAACTTTCTCAACATCATAAAAAGACATGAACCGTATATCATTTGTGTGCATTCGTTAAAAAGGCGGTTTCTTTCATCAGAGCATCAAGGACAGTGCAATAAATCTTTACAATAAAAGCATTTTCTCTCAGATAAAAGACATCGCTCATAGTGGAGCAGTACCAAATCTAAAAAGAGTCATTGCCTTTCATTGAGATCGGACTATGTAATATTGCACATTAAATTCGGTTTATGCACTGTATTGTTGTAAATTGTAAATAATCTGTCCTACTTCCTACTCATGATACAGTTTGAGTCGTACAATCGACTTTGAAAGATGTTTTATGAATATTTAAAGGGTTTTGTCGCTTGTTTAAATATATGTATAATGATCTCCACAGACCAAAGTCTTATGTATATTTTAAACGCCTACCTGAAATACTGCCTGGGGTTTCATACGACGCCGGATATGTCTTACCGCTGTGGTACAAGCAGTTGTAGTGACGAGAAACTTGATGGGCGGGAGCTTCCATCTTACTAAGGATTCACGTGCAGGACACCGGCGAAGAAATGATTATTGGAGAACTATCCGAGTTTCTGTCCAAAGGGTGTATTTATACATTCAACTAATGATATTCATATAACTTACATAATCTGCAATTTCTATTTGATTGGTGGGGAAATGTGGAAACATATATGCTGAATTTGTCAACTGCCTTTTATGGCCAATATATTTTGCAGAAGGTTTAGTCCATATATATACCATTTGACATGGGAAATGAGTGCATCCCCTCATCTACATGAGTATGAGGCTTCGTGTATGTACCCGACCAACCATGAAGAGAAACACTCGTTTCTGTCTAGTCTTGCTGAATAATCAAATAGAAACTATATGGCTCTAAAATTTGCAATCAAGGTTTGAAAGTCCTGGTGCTAACTTTGACACGTCGCTTTTCAACATGGCGTGCGATGCTGTCCCACACTATGACCATTTCATGTAGTTATCACTTCTCCCTACTCAGTAGGACTGGTCAACCAGGCGGACAGATAGATTACTTAAGTCTCACCTCAACATATGATACAAACAAAAAATAAACGAGATAAAAAACATTAGAATGCTGAGCCGTTCCATGCGGAACTACGAGAGAATACTAAGTAAGGATAAAGTATAGGGATGAACAACTTCTTATTACAATTAGGAGCGACGTTTCGGTGAAACACACCAGTCAAGTAGACAATCGAACAAAATATTCAGCTCGTTTTTACTTACAGCTATTAAAACAAAATCGTCTGCATAAGATCATTGATGTACCGATTAAAAAGTAAGGGACATAACAAACATCCCTGTTGTAAACCACGTTGTACATCACACCAGCGTGCGTAGGCTACAGAACATTTAATTTTTCCATTTATCCCCTATTGGGACGTCGTTCGATTTTTTCTCGAAATTAGTGAATGAATGAACGAACGAACGAACGAACGAACAAACGAACGAACGAACGAACGAACAAACGAACGAACGAACGAACGAACGAACAAACGAACGAACGAACGAACCATGCAGGACCAGTTTTGTCTTTAGGAGACATGCCATTACACAAAAGATAATATAAGAATAACGTGTCATTACATGCATAAAAGCAAGATTGGTACATATAATTATAAAATCACGAAGAAGCCCTTCCCCACATGAACCACATATATATATATATATATGTGTGCGCATACGTAAGCACATATATATCCCTCGAACAGGGCACATGCCCATTCCATACATTTCACCTTAGCATGCATGCCCACATTCACACAGATTTGGGCATGCACGTGCACACACGCACACACACACGCACACAATTTAGCGCTAACTCACACGTACATATATATATATATGCAAATTCAGCACACATAGCACAGCATCCCTACACACATGCAAATATACATGAATATCCCTACATACATATGCAGACACATAGGCACATATACACACATGCATAAATGCATATCTCCATACGTTGGTTCTAAGGTTACATTTAAAGGCAATCCACATATTTATTCATATACCCGATTACATATTATACATATTCAAATAAACAGATATTGTACCTTCATACAGTCACATAACATGTATAACATACATACATACAAACATACATACATACATACATACATGCATGCATACATACATACATACATACATACATACATACACACATACATACATACATACATACATTACATACATACATACATACATACATACATACATACATACATACATACATACATACATACATACATACATACATACATACATACATACATACATTCATTAATGTGGACAAATCTGCGTTCACATAAACACACATTTGACAAGATTATACATCCTGTGTGTGTATCTATTGTCTGTCAGGCGTTCGAGTCAAAATTACAGCCTTGCTAATTCAACAAATAAAGTAACTGACATTCATACGAGCCTACAGACATACACACTGACATACAACCTGACGTATTACTAACATACATAACACAATATATATAAAGGCCATACAATTCTCAACGTCATTACATATATGGTGAAAAACCCATATATAAAATTCACCAATTTTGCTAAGCAAACAAATAGGCTTAAACGAGACAGGCTAGCATTACATAATAGATGAAACTGCATAACCGATAAAGAGAACATTGTACTTATTTATAATAAAATTTTCTGCGAGCACGCATTTTAAACATATTTTACCTTTCGATGATATACCGGCGTTGGGATTGTTTGGAATAGTCATATCATACCATGAATACAGTTCATAGAAAATAATTTGTTAAATCACTGTAGCGGATATCGTTGTTGACTGGATACTCAAGGAGATAGTGTTTTCCGTCTTCAGGAGTGTCAACACAGAATGTACAATAACGTCTATGAGCCGGGATACCTAGCCTGTCGGTTTTAACGTCTAGCTTCATAGAACCAGAACGAAGGGAGGCGAGAACAGATCTTTTGTAGGGCGGGAGGTTTACATAATATTCTGCACAGAGATCTGATTTAAAAGTAATTATAAGTTCTAAGTTGGGCATTGACTGAAGTCCTTGGCTCCACCTGGTTTTACGAATATTCCGCACCAGGTTGGAGATTTATCATTGGAACACGTTAAGTCACACACATTTTTAAAACAATTAAGACTTTACTGTCTCAGGATTTCCCGTGAGTTTACAACCATCTATGGGCACACTACACAAACCAGAGCAATATGCTAGGACTTTCATATAATAGTATCTATCTTTAAAGGCGCCGCACCGTATCTGAATTTAGCCAGAGAACTTCTGTGAGCACAGTTGAGAGGGTATTCCGCGTTTTTCTGTGCTACAGACTTTCTTAAACAACCTGTAGCTTCTTAGCTTTCTTCAACGGTTTTTGTGTCCAAAAGTAATTTGTCCCTGCATTTAGACTTCTATTCCAACAAAAGGCATTCTTGCACCGTTGCAACAAATAAGTTTGTTTCAGTTTGGGTTTTGTGCTTGTTAAAAGTCCCAGGTCGATTTTTATTTTGACATGACGTCACTTTAGCATTCCAGCTCCTCTTGAAACTGCTTGACTACACAAATATCTTGTTAGTTATTCTTCTGTTTGGAGTCTTGCATGTCAGTACGTCAGCATGACAACTGTGTGCAGGTTAAGCTACTCCAACTCGTTAAGTGATACAGATTAACCAGATTATGATTATGTTTATAACTTGTGTTTGATCTGTGTCGGGTTACGTGCGTTCTATTAGCAAAGATTTAGCGTAGTTTTCTCAATAATATAGAATGTAGGAACTTTAGTGAAGACTTATCAAAATCCTTCAACCTTTGAGTTTGTTTTGCATTATTTTCATTAAATACAGTGTTAAAACACATTAAATAGATTAAACTTCTCTATAACCTGAGTGTAGTCTCACATAATCTATGTTTTCTGGTCTGTTCCACTTTAATATAAGGTAAACACGTAACTATTACTTGACAGACCAACCTTGACTAATCCTGGTCTGAGCAGACTGACAACTAGGGCATCTGGCATTTAGGAGGTTACCGTCGGTCATGCAGGTGCCTTGCTCATTCCGGATTAAGAGGGTAGGGTAGGAGACAATATCCATATACAAATATACCCTCAAACTGGCAAGGTGATTATATGTTGCTAGTCAGTAGGAATATTTCAGGGCGATTCTTTCAGTCCCTTGTCACTCAATCCTTGAAGCATTTTGCTTATCAAAGAGGAAGGTTATCATCATGGACCTCCTCAGCACAGATCACCAACACCTCTTACTCACCGCCTTCAAATGGATGACCTTGACGTTATTGCCAGTGGAGGATCCACACTAAAAAACATATTCTCATTGTCGAGTCACTTTTTAAGATATCGGAGTCCTTTTGCGACATCTTCATCTGAAACGTGGCAAGATAGAAGGGAGAAGATCAGTAAATTTACTTGGGGGAGGAGTTATTGACAATCTCGTGGGAGGTCAGGCCTATACGTACTTAGGGATGCAGGATATGAACAAACTCCAGAATGCCCATATCAAGGAAAACCTTCGGGCAGAGTACAAGTGTAGACATAAGAAAATCTGGAGTTCAGAGCTGAAGGCCCGCAACATAGTCAAAGCCACAAATACTTCTGCTGTACCCGTCCTTTCCTATTCTTTTGGTGTTGTTGATTGGACGAAACAAGACATTCAGGGTATTTACAAACTCACACGAAACATCATGTCAGACAGTAGACCCCACCACCCGCGCTGTTTCCCCAATCACTTATTTTTACCAATTTTCATGGGAGGGCGTTGTTTCATTAACGCGGAGGCTCTTCATGATAGAGTTATATTGTGCACTTTTGCACACATTTATTTGTCTGATGGTCCTCTTTTGAAGCATGCCAAGACTCAAGATGGAAACAAGGCATTCCACAGTTTTCTTCAACGAGTTCAAGGATGTGGGACAATAATCTCAATGTCAATGGATATGGATTCTGGGCCTACTTTTAAAAGTATGTAAATGGGCCAACCATCACATTCGATACTTCCACAAGGCATCAACAGGTATACTCTCACGCTCCTTTTTTACACACATAGAGTTTTCTTTATCCGCCTCAGGAGACTACTTTATCTGTTTTGTAGGATCTCAGGAGACTACTTTATCTGTTTTGTAGGATCTCAGGAGACTGCTTTATCTGTTTTGTTGGATCTCAGGAGACTGCGTTTCTCTGTTTTGTAAGATCTCAGGAGACTGTGTTATCTGTTTTGTAAGATCTCAGGAGACTACTTTATCTGTTTTATGGGATCTCAGGAGACTATTTTATCTGTTTTGTAGGATCTCAGGAGACTGCGTTATCTGTTTTGTAGGATCTCAGGAGACTACTTTATCTGTTTTGTAAGGTCTCAGGAGACTGCGTTATCTGTTTTGTAGGATCTCAGGAGGCTGATTTATATGTTAAGTAGGATCTCAGGAGACTGATTTTTCTGTTTTGTAGGATCTCAGGAGACTACTTTATCTGTATTGTAGGATCTCGGGAGACTACTTTATCTGTTTTGTAGGATCTCAGGAGACTGATTGATTTATCTGTATTGTAGGATC